GTGTGCATTGGCAGTCTCAGCTAACCAATGAACACAGTTAGTAGTCGCAGCTACTTACATAGACAATGTGGTGCACAGTAATAATATAAGTCATATACAATATACATATATCTATGTCATATTCTAACAAAATCCCTCAATAATCACTTATTCATTTGTCCAACAAAAATGCATACGATTTCCTCGTCTAACTTTCAAAATTTAGTATATTTTCAGTTTTCTGGCGTGACATTAAAATTGGCATTTAGACCTTTGATGCTCAAAATAAAGCAGTGTGGGCTTTAGGATATAATTGGCATTTTTAATTAATGGAATTTTTTATTATGTTCTGATATCCGATGCAGCAAACAATATACTGACTAATTGAGGAAATAATCTGTTGGTTAGGTGATGAAATAATTATTTATTGTACTTTTCACATCTATCAGAAATGAGAAAATCCTCATCTCTGTATCACAACTGGATGACTGTATTGCAAATGTTTTGTGTAGGCGGTGTACAACATGTATAATAACAGTACACAGAGGTTAAACTCAGCCAGTGACATTTGAACAGTAACCTTGTGCCGACGATCACTCGAAATGACTTGAGTACAAACAGGTCAGCAGCCCCCGGGACCTTTGCCATTTAGTATATTTGTATTCATATTCTATAATGCCTTTACTGTATGTACAAATAGACCACCCGACATCTAAAAGCACAGTGGTCAGTAGCAACCCTGCAAACAGCAGTTTAATAAACCATGTCTCTGTCATTTCATTCACAGGTTGCTACGCCAAGAACTTCGGCCCCAAAGGGTTTGGTTTTGGCCAGGGTGCCGGAGCTCTGGCTCACTCCCAGTAAACCGGAAGCCCGGGCCCTCCAGAGGCCGAAATCGCTCAGATAGCATCACTTCAAGGATCCTTCAGTCGATATACCTATTTGAGTGTTCACTCCAGCTGAAGGAGAAGAGGAGTGACAGAGGCACTCCACACACTGCTTTAAATACAAGTTCACCAAGTAGATTTCGCTCTGTGTGACATTTTGATCTAGATTTTTATGTCCTATTTTTGACAGCTCAAAATATAATGCTTGATGTTGAAAATGCACAAAATACTATGTTTGGATGTGCACATTATGTGTGTTTCACTGAATGGTAAAGTAAAGGGAAAATATAACCAATGTATTGTGCTGCAATACTAAGAGATATGTTTAATGTAGTAACAGAACTAAGTTTGGCAAGTGTTGAGACAGATTTATATCTAAGAAAGTTCGCATCTTACTGAGAAAAAAAACAAGATCCACATATTTCAAGACTGACAGCTTTGAAATATCAGGCTTACATAATGCTTCAGTTACACTCAAGATAAAGCGTCCCTTTCTGCCTTACATGTCAACTGCTGTACATATTGTCTTAAGATTATGTTTTATTGCTGAGACACAAAATAAATCAGTCACAAAAAAAAACAAGCGAAAAATATTTTTTTTTCTCCATGAGTCAAAGTCTGGCATGCTCTGCACAATTGTCATTGTTCTTTCTGGGATTCTGGTCTGATGAAATCAGGGTGTGTATGTGGCACTGGGTGTGCTTGTAATTCCTTCTAATCATCATCAAACAGAGGAAAACGCCAGCTGTTGTTAGGAACAACGGAGTCGCAGTGCTCAGCCCCATCTCCGCCTGCGCCGAGGAGCTGGCACGCTGACCAGAGAGGGGCAGCTGTGGAGGGGAGGGGGGCAGCTGTTTGTTTTGGTTAAAGACTACAACGTGTGTGAGTCACATCACAGCCAAACTAGGTCCAAATTCAAACACAGAAAAAAGTATGACGGTATTCAGATTGATAAGTCATCAATAATATGTTTAATTTCTGACATTATAGGCGTTTTAAAATGTACACATGTTTTCTCTTAACGTCCTGCTGCAAATATGAAAATACCATTGATGTGTAGTTCCATTCTCTTCAGACGATCCCCACCAGAGGGCAGTAGAGGAATTTAATATATAATCTTACAGAGTGATCATGTGAAGGTATTCATGTATTTTTGTAACAAGTCTTTGTAGCTTAAAAAATGAACCAAAAAGGAATCCTTTGGTTTAAATTATATTTGTATAATTTGATGGTCTTTTACTATCGATTGCACTGACTTCCTTAGACGTGTTGAACTGGTGGTTTACCCTTCCAAAGTCATGAAGACAGGAGCAATTATGTAAGGTTTAAACACTGTTTAACATGCAAGTCAAATGAAACAGACGTCACCGAACATTTTATTCCCGGCAAAATGTTTTAATATTGCGTTGTGGTCAGTGGCGGCCGGCCCATAGGGGCGCCAGGGGCGCCGCACCACCTCTTCCCACATTACATCTTTTTTTTTTTTAAACAAATATATATGTTAAGTTATGCTTAGTTCTGCAGCTTAACGTTGCATTCGGAGAAAAACACGGAGATGTAATCCATTTAGCCAAGCCTGGCATATTTTATTATAAGGGCTGCACGCATCACTCTCACGGTGACAGCCTCCACTGGAATGAACTGGTTCCACACACACGTGGCAATCAAGAGCTGTGATTAGCCTATAGGAGGCAGGCATGCATCCTATACCCCTTGTCCTTGCGCCTCACTGTGGCACAAGCCCTCCTATAGGCTAATCACAGCTCTTGATTGCCACGTGTGTGTGGAACCANAGTAAGTTAAGTTACAATTGAACTTTTCGGTGTTAAACTATAAATGAGTTCACTTGTAATCCACTTAAAACACCGTGTAGCATTTCGGAATTAATATTTATATAATTCCACCGTGTGCATAAATTACTTAAATTGACTTACTCAACCAAATTTTGAGAATCTGTCTCCCCATGGTTTATACGTCTGACGACGTATTTATTGAATCTAATTGACAGAGTACACACACAGACATACTTATACATTATATGGTTAGTAAATAAGTATAGTCGACAGTTAGTGACAATACTAAGTGTAGAATCACAAATAATTTTTTGATATAAAAAACCCTCCTCATTACTACTTGCAAGGAGTCACTACGGACGAAGTGGGAGAAAGTAAACTTTCTGGTCAGTAAGATAAGTATAGTTTGCTAGTTTCCTTGTCAAGTAAGTAAATTTGAGGAGGTTTTTTATATCAATAAATTATTATTGTGACTTGCTACACTAGTATGTCACTAACGCGACTATCCTTATATACTAACAATTAAATAGTAATAAGTATTGTAGTGTGAGCTACTCTGTCAATTAATTGACATAAATAACGTCGTCAGACGTATAAACCATTGGGACGATCCAGATTCTCAATGGTTGAAGTAAGTCAATTTAAGTAATTTAATGCACACGTCGGAATATCATAAATATAAATTCCGAATGACTACACGGTGTATTAGAGTGGATTACAATAACTCAATTGTTATAGTTATAACACGAAAGTCAATTGCACTACTAACTGACGCTAATTTAGGTCTTATATGAAGAACGGACCCCAACGTGGGGATTAAGAGGACGGGGGCAGAACGATGGGACTTATAAACACGATCTAGGCGGAACAGGAATCCTCTGTGGTCGTGGACGCCTCTTTTGGGTAGAGCCGCAACATGGGCGTTACTAAATCTACATCCATAACTGATAATTTTTTTCTTTAGTACGAAGTTTTTCCCGATGCCGCATGGGCGCAGGTGCGGTATGGGGTGACTTGATGTTTTCGATTCAAACAAAAGAGTAGTCCTTTACGTCTGGCGAGTTTGTTTCTAAAAATTTAAGTATAGGAGTGCTAGGTAAATTACATATAATACAAGCGGCTAACTGGACTTCGTGATTATGAGAGAAATTAGGTGAACTCAAATGTTTTTATTAGTTAAACAAAAATATAGTGTAGGCGCCTCCTTTAAGGCGTCTCGAGAGGTGATGGCTAACATAGGATTAAATAGTAGTAGAGTGGTGCTAGCTACATACAAATACCAAGCGGACTTAACTGTACTTCGTGACCTGTAATACTTTATATGACATTAGTTGAAGAATTTGCAATAATTGCACGGATTTGAGTCATTAAGTGGTAAAGATCGCGTACTGTTGTGTGAAAACAGGCACGAAACCTGAGAGAGGCGGCGTGTCACTTCGCAAGGGCGTAACTGCAGTGAGCGCGAAGGGGGTTTTGGATTTTACTCAGCTCCTAAAAGGCGCTAAAGCTTAATAAACTATAAATAGCCTTGGCCGATAGCAAAAAGAAAAAATTTGACTGCCAAGCTCTCTAATCGATCAATCGGGTGAAAAAGTAACACGTTGCAACAACCAAGCACGAGTGTCCGTGAAATTCCCTCTGATAAAAAATTTTGAAACAACCAGTGTAGCACATACGCCATAAAACTATTTCACGAACCAGTCGACTTGGACTAAAGACATAAGTGCCAGAGACCACATTACCGGTCTTGTAAACACGTCTTTGACTTTCCGACGGTGAAAAAATAATCAGGGGAATATTCAGTGGGTTCAGTTGTATGTCACCTGTGTAACCGGAACCATCATTTGGACTGGTTCTGGTTTGGACGTGAACGGATCCATTCTGCGTGTAGACGTTCTGTGTTTTAACATCAAACAGCGACATTTAGCCGCAAGGTGCCATGAAAGACGAAGGAAAATTTCTTTTGTTCTTTTTCTGTGAGTCTTCATAATTACATACTAGGTAAGTTAACACACGAAACCTCAGACCATTGTGGGAAAAACGAACAGCCAGATAAACCTCAGTCAGGGCAACTTACGTAAGAATGTATAAAAACGCCCAAAATTCTCACGATCGAACGCAAATGTCGGAGAACAAAACACAAAAACGAACAATACTTCAAGTACTTTCGCGGGGGCTCTCGACGCCGAGGAGTCGCGTTCCGTGGTTCCTTCCTTTACCAGCTACGTGTGACAGCTACCGGACAGAGCTGGAGGTCGACGGACCGATACTTATTCGACCTACCCTTTCGTGACCCATTGTCGTGGACTATTTAGGAGGTGCTGAGTCGTTTTCGTCCATTCAACCGTACACTCGTTTGTCTCTTACACCAGACGCTATTACAGACATCTCTCATTCTCCATTAAGCTAGCTTCTATACGGCGCCGCGGGGGCTCGTCACGCGGGGCGGAGGCGCGTGCCGCCGGTCGTCCCTCGAATCAGCAAACGCTACGAACATGTTTGAAGGGGTTTAGGCTTTGGCTAGAATTTGTTATAAGATGAAGAAAAATCTGTAAATGGGTTTAGTCGTTGTTGGCGAAGCACGAAGAGATGTGGGAGACCACTCTGTTCCTAAGTTCCGAAGAACTTTTACACTCACTTCAAGTGGGACTCGACCGGTTCTGCGACAGGTTACACACCCACTCCCCACAGGACTAGTGCGCATTGTATAGGAAGTTTACAGGCTGTGCGAGTCGCCACAGTACCAAACACTCTTGTCTTCCTTTTTCCACACTAATCGCGCAATTTTTACGGGTCACTTACACTTGTCTGTGATTTCTCTTGTCACCCTCCTCATGTGCCTGAACGTCCCACCGTAATATTGGTGCCTCCGCTTACTTGGCCTCGAAACCAAACTACACAGTGAGCTACATGACAAGGCACACCAAGATCCAACCACATGACTAATAACAGAGGAAAAAAAGGACGTCGTTCCGCTACCATTCAGGAGAAACACTTACTGTAGGCGCCGCCCGTGGTACCAAGTCAGCACCTTCTACTTGCCTTTCGAATAGGGCCTTCACTAATTGCAGGTGGAGTTGCGTGTCTCCCGGCTCAGAGGAGTAAATTCACAGTTGGTTGCCTATGTACACAAATAATTTTCAAAACACGGTAGTATTGTCAACGAGACTGTTACGCACGTGGAAAAGAAACACCCCTGTTTCCACTTCAATCTACAATGAACACACAGCCCCGCTGTTACACGAACGAAATAGATCTCTATTGGTATGTATGTCCAAATCTTACAACCAACCGAGCTCAAAAGACAAAAATTATACTATGTTGTAAACAATTTCATAAAACTAATAACATTGTTAGTTGTTACTCTGTAAAGAGACAACAACCTCAAGAGCAAAAATTTCTTGTCACCGTGACAAAATCGGGTCACTACAACCAATTACTACAATTTACCGTACCGTCCCAACCAATTGTAGAAGCAATAAATATACCACACTCGCGAATACATATAATAGCTACACAAAGTATACACCGCGTAATGAGAAGTTCACATTACACAACTATAACTTAGACCCCTCAGAATATACTTCTGCCAGGGGATGCCACCCCTCAAATTCTCCTGCCACCCTCTTGCTACCCCATGAATATTTGTCTAGATCCGCCCCTGTCCCTAAGGGAGACACCAGCCACCCTGCGGAGAAAACCCATCTCGGCCGCTTGTACCCGCAATGATTTTAGATGTAGGCTATTAGACTATTAAAAAAAGAAATCATGCTTCAAATAAGTGGGGGTACGGCGTACCCCCGCGTCCAACGCCACTACACCACTGACTGAACTACAAAAAGCTAAGGTTTGTTTTCTCATCAGGAAATGCAGACCGGCTCAAACAAAAGATTTTTAAATCATCATCCTCACGATCATTTAATGTATCATATGTTCGCCGAATTGACATGAAAGCACTAATAAATGTAGTTTAATCCACTTGAGTTTACAAAAATAATCAATTTGTTTTTATATCACATCCGACGGGAGGAAATTCAGCAGCTCTCACTACCGATTTGTAATCCTAATTTAATCATCATCTTCACCACGATCATGTATGTTTATGTTCGCCGAATTGACATGAAAGCACTGACATATATGAATATACTGTAATCAACTTCATTAAAACATTATTAACGTGCCTAAACTCAGTAATTCACCATTTCTACGCATGACAACACACTTTGTCCGTGTTTGGCTCTCTCGCCGCACAGTGAAGCGTTCCCGCATTGACGTCACTTCCGGCTTCCCCCAAAACCTCAAAATGAGTCGAAGGAATTTTCCCGCGATGTTCGAAATTATTGATATTTATCGGAACGGTATCGCTTTTTCTTTTTTAAACTGACGGTTCGAGATTACTAGTAGCCCACTATTTCATTGCACAACAGTTGTTGGGTTCGTGTCACAGGCACTTTAAGGGAGACTATTTTTTAAAAACTTGTTGGTCAACATGATCTATGCATATTTTGATAAATGCTTGCACTGAACCTGATTCTGTATTCACAGGTCTCTGGTGTAATGAGCCAGAACATTGTGCAGAAACTGAAAGGCCTGCACTTTATTAGTCCCCTTATAAAATCACCCAAAGTCAACATACAGAGGAACACAGTGGCCTTGGTAGGAAACCTGACCAAGAACCCAAACCTGCACATTGCCATAGGTAAGACGCATCTGCAAGACACAAATTGTAGTTTGTTGCTTTAAATCGGTTCCAGGTACTTTCTCTTCCTTTGAAAAGAAACAAAAAAAGACACGTCAACTATAATTATGATCCATTTAACAATGTGTGTTCAGAATCTGTAACACCTTTTTGCTTCGTCATATTTGAGTCATCCCGTTGAAATGCATGATCTTAAACAATATTTTTTGCGGTTTTAAGAGTGCTAGCTTGCGTTTAACAGCCTCTTGTTTTGTGTTTTTGTTCTTACTGAAGTTCATAAAGCCCTCCCAGAGCTGCTGGGCATCCTCAGCGCAGGCACCAAGGAAGGAAATGAGTCCGATGACACACTGTCGATGGCCTGTCAGACCTCCAACTGCCTGCTTATGAATAAGCCTGAGATGGGAAAGCACCTGGTAAACAGCACCCTGATAAGATCCCTCAACGATCTCAGCAAAAACACGTAGGTTGCATGTGAGCAAACAGAGAATGTGTCTGCATAATGTCTTAAGACTAAGAGATACAATTCATCAAGATATGGGGAATGACTCACCAAGGATTACATTTTGCATGCTTGTACAACTTCCACAAATCCGAACCGATCTTAAACAACTAATTCTACTTCTTTTTAGACATTTACCCAAATCCAGCAAAACCGCCTCCGTGCTTCTCTACAACCTCTGGTCAGACAAGGATTTACAAGGCTTCTTGAAAAAGGTGAGTGAAGATTCACCCTGAGTGCCAAGACCTGTCATGGTTAGGGTGTGTCCTATCAGCTAACTATACCTCAAATGTCCACACCTCACTCAGGTATTTGTGAGAAACAGAAGGAGAAAGGTTGGATTAGGCAGCGTTAAAAAATGCCCAGTGAATGTGAACAAGACACTAAAGAGACACAGTGGAGGAGTACAACAGGACATTGGCAGGGTGCATTATAACACACAGGGCCATGAACACAGTGCAGTTGGTTTGATGTGTCACTCTATGTATGTTCAGTGTGGTTTCTGAGTTGGTGTACTGATTTATCTCTCACTATTTTTCCTGCAGCAAGGGATGAGTAAGTCCTCATTTGTGAATGACATCACCGCGGCGGCACACAAGTCGGTTCAAGTCGTCGAATGACAGGAAAGCTTAATGTCCCGGAAAGTGATTAAAGTCACCTCAACGCACAGAGGCTGAGCAGCATCCTTCCTCATTTCACATGTCACACAATACATGTTTCTATTAAATATTTCCATCAACATACAGTAGCTCTGACAATGCTGCACCTTTTCTTTGTGGGGAAAAAAGGTGAAGGTTAAGATGTTCATTTTGTGTCTGGATTCTGCCACAATGTGCTTGCTTTATTAGATAATAACATACAGGTTTAGATGTTGTGTTTGCATAGAGGTTTCTGTTTTTAAATCATGATACAACATTGTGTAAAAGTAATTTTGATTATGTAAAATCAACATGGAGAACATTTCTCTGTAGTTGGAGTTCATCGTTTTTAAAGAAACAGTGGCACTGTTTTAGGCAGTGATGTGTGTTTACATTTTGTAATGGCATGGCAGGTCTGTGGTTAACCACTCTTCTTTTTATATATGTGTGTGATCCTTAAACATTTGTATTATCATGAATCATGTAGTTAATAAAGCTAGCAGACATATACTCTTCAAGCTGTTAATGTTTGATATTATCTGGGATTTTGAGGTAATTATCAGCCAGTCACTCGAGCAGAAATAAATGTGTTATTACTGTAAACCTCACTGTCACGCCCCTTTGGGGTTTTGGCTGCTTCTTTCTCAGCAGATCACTAACACGTCTTTCAATCTATGTTTACTCCACCCTCACACTGTAATTTACTTTCTGTGGTTTAGAACAAGGTCTTAGAGACAGACACTGCAGCTGTTGCTTGTACTTGTTAACTTTAACTTTGGTCCTCCACATTTGAGCATGTAATCCACCCAATAGTCAGGAAGAATTTCTGCAGTCATGCTTAAATGTATGAGGTATCAAAGTGATTACATTTTTCACTGAAAGATTGATGTGTGTGTTAGAGGACCGGTATTACTGTGGGCAAACATCAAGGCTGCCTGGATTTAAAGAAGGCAATTTGGCTTTTTAAAGAAGGTGTGGCTAATTATAATTACCATGAAGGTGATGCTCATCTTGAAATTCCCACAAGTGAAGGAAACAAAGCCTTAAAAATAAAGAAGACACTGTTTCTCTTATTTAAAATAAAGACGTTTTTTTTTTATTTATTCCAACCACAAAATTGATCACACAAGAACTTATTACTCAATCTTACTTTTAGTACTCTAAAAATGACAGATTAAGTCTTAGAACTAGGAGTACATTGTAAATGATGTTCTATTGTCATACTTTCATTTCAGAAATCACATACCTCCTGTCAAATCCCACTTTAATACACACAAGCCGTAACACATCAGTCTAATCATAACCTCTAAATTCCTGCGGATGTACTCAGCACACTGATTCACAGATAGAATATTTAAGAGAATTTGTTGTTTTGTTCTTGCATTTTCAAGTATTTAGAAAAAAACACATTATGGGGTTGATTTTATTGTCATTAAATGTCAGGTCTGGCAGTTTCCTTCCTGTTGTCGTCACATGTTATTTCCTCAGGCCCCGCTTGCTTCTGATGCTCTTTGAACTGAGAAGTAAAGGAAAGTCAGCAGAGATTTGGCATGTCGGCACCAAACCTACTCAACCTGTAATACATACACAATCATGTTTGATCATTTCCATGGGAAATGCATTTGTGTGTTGCGTTGTACTAACTTAGTGTGAGTTTAGTGCCACATACTTTCCTCGATCATTTAAATCCAAAAACTTTAGAAGTTTTATTTTTCTTCGAGGCAAACACGCCTCTGTTGCGTTCATTATTTTGGGGATTTTTTTTATCCAAGAACGGAATTGATTTGAAGCAATGTAATGCTATGTTCAGAATCGGGCCATTACATGTTTTCTTGCACTGCATGCAACATGCATCACAGCTGCAGATGTTTCAATCTCATCAGGTCATTTTGAAGTCTGGTACACAGTTAATCTCTATACAGCATCATTCATTTATTATTATTTATTTTTTTATTAGAAAGCAATATCTTCATATTACACTCCGCATGAGTTGTGAGTTCAATTAAAGAGTGGTCTTCCTTTCTCTGATGACCCTTTGAATTTCTTCTGGATTATTTTAGCACCACAGATTATACTCAATTTCAGAAGAAAATCTGTAAAGATTTGAGAAAAAAACGAAATAGATTTTTCTTTTGCTTCCATGCCCAAATAATCCCATTGCGACTCCATCTGGGGTCCCGACACATAGTTTGGGAACCGCTGCAGTGTAGAAAGCTGCTGCTGGCCTCAGACACTGGGAGCCTGGCATAGCTGACTGCTGTTGTAACGGGATTTGCTACCAACTAGTTGATGTCTATCTTTATCTGCTGTTGCTAGGTACCTGATCCCTGGAGCTTCCCCATGAAAATAGGCGTTAACACATTTCAGATGAAACTGTGATAAAGTATGTGTGTTATGTTTTGGTGGTATACAGTTTTTGAAACTGATTAATGAGTGTTTTACCTGAACATAGAAAAATCAAGGCTCTATTACAAGGGTTTACCTTAAATTATTATTAACAGCAGTATTAGTTTGCAATGCAGACGTCATATACTGCACGAGAAACACTTAAGTGTGTTAAAGTTTTGTTTCAGGAGGATAGCTTGATAGTATTGAGATGTCTGCAGGGCCCCGTCACTGCTTTATTGTGAGCGCCATTAACTCAGGTCTGTCACGTAGCAGTTATAAGATCTCTCAGCTGTTTCAACCCTGTCTCTCCTTGGAGACTTTGTGCATGTGTGCTGTTCAGATAACCCAGCTTGCCCTTTGTTAAAAAAAAACCTCTCATGTGCTCTTCCTTTTTTTGTTTCCCCCGTCCTGTTTGGCTACTCCGGAAACTTTAGTCCTGCTGTCAAGCGGATGACACAAACAGCTGCAACTGATGCCGCTTCAAACAAAAAGAGATCAGAAGCGGAGGGGAAGTGGAGATAAGAGGAGATGGAAACTTGAAGAGGTCACGAGGTGGACGTTTACGTCAGTGCTGAGCCTGAGCCTTAGCAGGGAATTATGAATTTTTACTTATTTAAATGTAACATTCAGCCATTTAGAATCCACCGTTTTAGTATCTAGTGTTTTTCCTCTCTTGATAAAAACTATTGTTTCTGTTTTGAAGATAAACATTAGATATCAGATGGTAAAGAGGCAGTGGTGGAAGATGTACTAACATATTTGAGCAAAAGTGACGTCAAAGTTAATAAATACTGCTCATTATTTGGGAGGGCCCATTTCAGAATAATTATTATATTATTGTTATTATAGATGCATGAATGTATACCACTACTATTACAGCTTGCATGTTAGGGTTAGGGTTTACTTGTTTTGTATATTACTTACTGCTTGGTAGCTTTCGGATCCCCTCCACTGGGGATCAATAAAGTCTTATTGATATACATGAATAAAATCATAATTCATGTGTCCATTATATGTGTATTATAATAATAATAATCTAAATCTGTAAAGTAACTGGTCACTAATGTTAGGGAAATACATTTAGCAGAGTAAAGGTTAAATATCTGTAGTAAAGTTGCAGGAAATGAAATCCTCTATGTACAAGTACCTCAAAATTGAAGTTATTTCAGTTAATGTACTTTGTTGTACAACAAGGACAAATGCATTTGTGATACATCATCAGCCTACTTCTTCCTTTCATGCAAAAGCACTGAATAACATCTTTGAAGAGCACAGTGCTGTGGGACTTACACTTTCTGATGATCACTGACTCGGTTTCTCAGCACCGTGACCTGTGGAAAATGTGTTTTTTTAAGTTAAGTGAAATCTGGATTAGACAATATGCCACAATTGAATCTGGTGTATTGAAATTTGTTTTAAAATTGTAATATTATACCATAGAAATGTCTCTGAAAGGAGACAACATGTAATGTCAGCATTTTCTGAACTGTTGAAATCACCAAACCACAGATTCTAGCCATACTAAATACATTTTTACAATTCCAACTTCATTTTTAACGTTAATCTCCTTTTACTTGCTGGCAGTCTGAAGAGTGAAGAAAAAGCCTTAACAAGCTCCTACAATAGTTTATATCAAGAACAAATGACACTGGGAACAAAGTATGGGCGTCGGTAGGATAGCTACAGCTAGCCTTAGTTGAAGCTAAACTCAACAACTTTTATTCAACGTTACCTGTTTTTGTGTGAAAAATTGTGAAATAATTAACAACTACTCTTAACAAAGTAGCAGCCTCTTTAGTAAAATGTATTGCACTAGTTCGTTAGTTTAATGTAGAGAAGAGCTAATATTACAAGTAATATAATAAATGGTGTGGCTAACTAGCTAGCCCCCTGTATGTTACTTTATTTTCACTGTTTCTTTAATAAGGCTTCCTGCTTTTGAAACAGTCATGTATAAGATATTTATCCGTCATTCTTCTTCCTGTTTTACTTATTTTTTTAGTTACACAAGAGATGTTTGGCTGACTTAGCAGAGAAACAGGTAGTCAGATGCAGTATTGTGCATTGTTTTTATATTGGCCTGCATCCCAGAAACAAAAGACAGGTTAGTGATGATGAGCACAAGATGTAAACACAAAAGTTCCAGTAAGGTTACTTACCTCATACTTCTGCTTAGCCTGCGTGTACTGCAGGTCAAACTTCTCTGACTCCAGCTGGTGCAACAATTCAAAGAGTTCCTTGGCTTTTTCCCTACATGAAGGAAATGATTTTAAGCATTTCACACGATAGATATTGAGAGTTTATGTCAAGTTTTTTTTGTTTTTTACCTGAGTTTCTCCTCTTTCATGTGATCAATATTTAACTCTTTGCGCCGTTCATTTAGGATCTTCTTCTTCTTCTCTCTTTCTGTTGGTTTTTTACCCCCAGGCTGTGTTTGCTAATCAGGAGGAGGACACATGGGGATGTCAACATGGACAGTAGGTTTGTGACTTTTTAAAAGATAACACGTGTTATCTTCACCTTGTATCCAGTGAAACTCAAGTTGGACAGAATCATCTTCTTCCTTGCATCAACCTCTGCTTTCTTCTTCGCCTCCCCGTCTTCTTTTCTCGCTTTCTCTACCTGGTGGAAAACATTATGGCACCTTTAATGAAATTATTTATAGTATTTTGATTAATGACATTCTCGTAACATTGCCAGAACTTGTTTTATTGAAAATAAGTGTAAGGCATAGGTGGGATTGAGAATGCCAGTCTCTAAAATAAAATAAAAGTTTTTAAAAATCTTATTGAAAGAAAAATTGAAAGAAAATTAGTAATACTTGCATTAGTTTTTTTTTTAATGATTTTTAATGTTACTTGAGTTTTTATCCCATTTTTATTTTTATCGAATATGGAATAAAATGTTTGTGCTCCTCTTGCATTACGAGAGGAAAGTTAAATGTGGCTTTTAATCAAAGAAATGCTGCAACATAGACTTACTCAAAAGATGCAGAATCCCACGTGTTGGGCAATACACAGTGTTTCACAATGTTCATTATTCAAAACGACTTTGATTTGCATTCAAAATGTTTAAATGTACAAAATTACTTGATAAGGCGCAATATTTTCAATCTTTGATTTTTGAATTAATCAAAACAATTCTAAATTAGATTACATCTTTGGAATACAAAGGATTATGTTACCTATTACAAAATGATGTTACTTTTATCAGTACAGTACAATTCAAAGCATTATGCTCTGTTAATGTTATCTTTCTTTTTATACTTACAGCTTGTTTGTTCTGCCGCTCTTTTTCTAGCTCAGCTCTGATCTTCATCTGATCTGCTCTCTCTGACCTGCGTGTCTCCTGAAGTGGGAAATTAAATACAAAAACAACAAAAACAAAACAAAATCATATAAACACAACATTTGGCAAAAAACACTTTATTATGGAATTGGGTGGTTAAATGTGTGATATGTTGCATTAGAAGAGAGAGATCATACAATGCGATCTGTGAGGTTGTTAAGCTCCTCTTCCTCCTTCTTGCGCTTCTCAAAGTGAACGTCGATCAGAGTGTGGAGCTCAGTCATGTCCTTCTCCATTCTTTTTCGATGAATGTCCTGGAATTATAGCAATAAGTCAAAATGGGAGCCTTTCCAAAAAAATCTGCCCTTCCAATCAAAGAACAGCTTGCAGGTGTAACTTTAATCAGTTCTGAAATAACTCACATCAAAGTCCACTTTTTCTCCATCTGGGATTTTTGGAGGAGCCAAACCAGGCACAAAACCAGACCTGATGAAAAGGATGGAAGATGTAAAATCTTTTCAACTGTGTTTCAATTTAAGTTATATGAAAATATTTAAACAGTGCCTTACTTTAACCTGCGCTTTGTCTCATCTGTGTATCCATCAAAAAGAAAAAAGGCAATTCACAATCTTTAGTTCAGGAGGCACGAGAAACACTTGCAAGCATAACAAACCCACCGAGAAACATTTTTCCAAAATAAGCTTTCCATACCTGCATCATTTTCCTCCGAGGTCTCTGTTGAAAGATGAGAGGGTCAGTGCAATGTCAACATGATTTCACGCTGACAGGTAGAGAATTACAGCACAGGTAATCCTCAAACAGATTTAAAAACAGTTGTCAAAATCTGTTTTTATTTTAATTTCAGTGGTTACCCAATATCTTATATTTATTACATTTTCAGTTTTACTTCGTTATGAAAATATATTTTCTTCCCTGTTAGCCCTTGAGGTTTAGCAGTAAACAATTTATTCTAGTAAAAGTGTAATTATTCTCAGGTCTCTGATTCAAAGGAAGCAGCTGTCAATAATGATGGAGTTGGAGTGACCTCATTGACCTCATTTTAGAAGTCAACTAAAGTGATGTATCAGACAATCTCCTGACAGCGCTGAGGGACTCAGTCAGAGAGGAATGCAGTGTTTAGCAGGCAGCTTTTGATTATCATCACAGGTAACTCCTGTGTACCTGCCCAACAAAACATGCCTTTAAAGTGTGCCAGAGCAATAATTTACCTAAGACACAAAGAATGGCACTACGTCTATATCTGAATGATTACGGATTTAATTTAGGTCTAAAAATAGCCTTAACAAATCACACTCAAAATGGGCATTTTAACAATAGCTGCATTATGTAATAGCGATTATGGTGTTATCAAATTATATTGACAACATCACTGTACTGTACAGTTAAAACTTCCAATGTCTGGGTAATTTAGAGTGAAGTGTACATTTTAAAATAAATAAATAATTAATATTGAATTATCTGAAAAAATGTTATTGCATGAAGCGGAAAACGAGGCTGTTTTTCTAAGCTCCGGAACATGGCTGCCAACAATGTGTTAGGAATAACGTCAGATCTATTTACAGCATGCCAACAGATAGCATACTAAGCAATACTACCTTCTATCTCCTCCACCTTCACCTCCTCCTCCTCCTCTTCCTCCTCCACATCCTCCTCCTCTACCTCCTCCTCCTCTACCTCCTCCACCTCTTCTAACTCTTCTTCCTCCTCCTCCTCCTCTTCTGTGCAAAGCAAGCATGTAGAGTTAGCAAGCAAACAATGTGAACATCTCATACAGCATTTAGATCAATCATTATTTATTTGTGTATTTTTGACGGTGCCTCTGAAACCTAGACACTGATTTAGTCACAAAACATACATCATTTTTTTTATATTCTTGATTTGAATCCTATTGTAATCTAGAATCTAAATTTCTTTTAGCTAATCATTGGAGGTTTTAACTTTCCCTTTCCTTATGCAGTTATTGGCAATGGAGGGAATTTTCTATATATTATATTACTTTTTCTTTTTAAAGAAGCTGTGTAGACACATTAGAAAAAAAGCTGTCAATGTTTGCCTCACTGGAGTCAGAATGTAATTCCCACCAATTTGTCTGTGGTTGCTTTAAGCTTTTGCACGTTTGACAAGCATTTAAAAGGCAGGTTCTTTATTTGTTGGAAGCATTTTTCTCCTCACTGGGCCTCTGTGGGAAAGAGTGACCCCAGGCCTTCAGTCAGAGTCCCTGTATGCACAGAGGGTAACTCAACCTCTATTCACTGCAAAGAAGGTAAGCCAACCTGCATTCAGAGGACCTCTAACAGGCACAAAAATGAGAGTGGGTATTGTGCTTGTGCCGCTGTCTTCCCCAAGGTCTTCTATTGAGAACATAAGCTGACCTACATTGCTCCCCAACAGCGACTTCTACTCCACACAGAGTGGGACAGGTGCCGCTTAGCTGAAGGGACAGCCGAGCTGCACAGGGGCCCACATGGACACAGCCTCACAAAGGACAGAAATAGAGGTACAACCCTCCATTTGAATAGAAAGGACAGATCCACTGGGATCTATATCCAAGGTGAGCTGTCTCCAGCCTCTGGTAGAGAGGAGGGACTGAGAGGACAAAGGTCAATCTGAGCTCACAGCAGCTGCTTCTACAGTGGCACCAACACGCCAAAAATACAGTATGCTGTATGGTGAAGCCAGCAGCTTAGCAGAAGCAGTGTGTTAAGCAACTTTAAATGCAAGATTTGATTGTGTAAATCAGGTAATAATAAAGTAGCAGAACGAAAACAACCAGCCTCTAAAGGTTTTACATTCAAGCAAACGTTGTTTTCATAGATATTGTTTGCATTAAAAAGCAAAAATATCCTCAGCCCGAACAAGGTCAACTATTTCACAAGTATAGGCACAAACAAAATGAACTTCTGACATGTAAACATGCAGTATCATCACAATATTCATGCATTTTTGTTTTTAAGTGAAGCAACTGTTAGAATGTGCATCCTATTAACTTCAATTACAAACAAGACGCATCTTGAACTGACAAGCTGACTTACCTTGTTCCCTGAAAGAAGAAAAAACAAATCCAGAAAATTGTTACGATTGATTTCATCTCTGCTGGCATCACTTTGTTACCATCACTCTCTATTATGCAAAAAATATCTATTTACTCACTCGTACTGGGCTTCTTCTGTGTCAGACATGTTTAGGATGCAGCACCTGTACAAGTAAGCCCAATGCAAAGGTGATTGGTACTGTACCAACAACAATAATAATTCCAAATTCAACCCAGATGTGTCAACTGCAGGTTGGAAACACATAAGAAGAGCACACAGACTTACCCAGATAGTGCGATGCGCGCTTCAAACTGGACTCAATGGGAAATTGTATACTGTGCCCTTCTCTGTGGGCCATAAGCTTTTAAACCCAGTAGTGGATCACATGGCAGAAAGCATCCCATGTCCACAAAGGGTGGGTACATACCTGCAAACAGATGGCACAAGGCATTAACTAGAATGGGAAAACACACATTCTCCATGGACTTGCATTGTCTATTTTTACACACAAAACTATAGACTCCAGAGCGCAGGATTATTGCTCATAAAAGGTTTCAGAGTGGAAGGCTGGATGTAATCTTTGTAAACCTCATCATGTGTGCAGGCAAATACACAAGGCGACAGCTTTACTTTTTATGATTCTGCAGGTAAATTGCAGGTTTATCTCACAATAGCATCTTTAACTGACAATTAATCAACAGAAAATACATTATAAGAGTATACTGAGTTATTTGTGAAGACGAAATACTGAATGTGTGGTTCCTGCCACACACGAAGCTCATGATTTATTGGTTTATTCAATGCAGAAAGTAGTCCATATAAGCAGGAAACTCTCTTTAGTTGACATTTTGATGGGTAATTGTTGTTTTATTGTGTCAAACATTATTACATTTTATTAAATTGATTAAATGATTAATCGGTTCACTATGTTCATGGTTCCTGTTGTTATTTAGTTTAAAGAGCAATTCTATTATTTTCATTGAGTCTCGAAATGTGTTTAAAATAAGACATCAACATTTCCCCTAAACTAAGCATTTCATGTCATATCTTTGTGCAATATTCCCATAGCAGGTAGCCAAGGAGATGAGAAAAATAAAACTCCCTTTACCGACACTGTCTCCTGTGCCTCGCCTTTAATCTTGCATCCCTGCCCTCACATGCATTGGTGTTCTATCAACAACACCCTTTATGAGGATGCCAAGTCTTTTGATACTCCCAGTGCTTGCTGTTAATATTAAATCTGACCCCGCAGCCGGGGTGACAGTATGACTCACCAGATGTCTCTCGTGAGCCAAAATGTAACAGTGATTGAACAGAGTTCCCCTCCAACTCCATCGGGCTTTGTTTACAGATTGTTTGCAGCTATTTTGAAGTCTCAAAGGGACTAATAAAGGTCAAGTCGTATCAGTCAAGTCTTCAGAAGCAAGAGGCAGTCTATAAAAAGTGTTACTAGTCTCTATACAAAGATAGCTTGAAGTATTTGAACATTTTCCAAACTACCAGTGTTCTTACATGAGACTAAGTCAATTCAATAGCACTGATACAACAATTAATTGTTTCAGGTGTTTAATAACCCCCTAACCCTAACCCTAAATAATGATGACTGTTTTTAAAGATCTAATCAAACAAGACTCGACTTGAGTTTTAGACAAATATAAAATATATTATGATTCATCCCCAAATGTTTTTATGAGTTTATTATATTATAGAATATAAAAACCTATGCCGCAGATTTATCTTTTGACAAAATCCTTAACAGAGGTGGTTTGAGCTATCCATTTATTTATTATTTAATTGCAACACCCAAGGGAAGCCCCAGGAATTTCACAAACCTATTATTTTTATTTGAAATGTTGCGATTTTCGGGCAATGATGACCCTGAAAGAAAACTAAATCTGAGTTTCGGATTATAAGGACGACCCTTATAGGGAAAGAGACTTTCTGATAACGGGGTGACCCTTAACTTTAATAGTTAGATATGGACAGCAGGGGACCCGGACACTTATCTAAAAAGTAAACTAGGGGGGACTAGTCAAGGGGGGGCCCTTGTCTAAAAAGTTAGTTCCGTACAAAAGGGGGGACATAATTAAAAAGTTAGTCATGGACAAAAGGGGTGACGCTAATCTAAAATGTAACTTTTGATATAAGGGGGTCCCTATTCTTAAAAGTTAGTTCCAGACAAAAGGGGGGAACCGTATCCAAAAATATTGACGTGGAGGGCCTGCTCACAACTGCTTTCAGCTTTAATTACTATTATTATTGTAAATGTGTGAGTTTGTGTGAAGTTTGAATGGCTAATTTAGAGCTCTAATATATAAATATATATATACGTATATATATATATGAATATATATATAAATAAATATTGTCTGGGCCATTTTTTTTTACTTTGAACACTGGTATTTTTAAGCATACAAAGGTTTATACTCACACTTACATGTACAACATATTTTCTATATGTTTTGTTTACATTTAAGTTCCCTTTCTTTCAACCTGAGGTGTTTGAGCACAAATAGCCAACTGACCTATTTTTCTTTGTTTTGACATGTTTGCATTGCAAGTGGGACTGACTGACATACAATACAGATGACTCACAGCACAGGAAAATAAAAATACCCCACAGAGAAGTCATTCATAAGATAAGCAGCAAAGCCCTACAGTACAACATGATATTCTATTCCTTAATAAAAGCCCTTCATGACAATAAGTTTGTGTTTGATGACATGTTGTGTTACTTAGTTGAATGGAGTGCAACCCAGTCAATCACAGTATTGAGTTATACTACTTTCCTTTGATTAAATAAACTTTCCCCTCCTGATATTTTTGTTGCAAACTGGCCTGGAGTCAATTAAAACAAACAACAGAAAGCACTTAAGGCCTTATAATACTGGTTAACCTTGACATGGCTCCAGTCCTGACAGGGATCTTCAGACTCACTGTCTTAAGTTGTTAAGCATAATCTCTTTTCAATTAGCAGCACAGGCAATAAGGCCCAAACAGTACCTTTATTCCGGCTTTTTTCTCAAGTTACTGAAACCTGTTGGTTGGAAAATTATGTTCTTACTAAACTGAGTTGATACTGACACCTTGTGGGGGAAATGAAAGCACTTTCCGTCATCTTTTCTAAAACCATGATATAGAAGTACTAACATAACCAGAATAAGAATGAACACTATTAACAAATTCATATTAATTAGTGGCCTACTAAAGGCACCTTAAACTGACCTGAAAAGGCCATTCTATACACTGGGTTTTGGATTGTTGAGGGAAAAAAACAAGCACTAGTTGATTTCACCCTTTTAGGATGATTTTTGGATCATTAAAACTAATCGCACTATTTTAAGCACTGTTAACATTGCTAATTTGTGCACTTTGGAATTAGGAAGCTGTTGTTGTTTTTAACATTTAATGTTGAATTAATTAAGACATAAATGTATGCATGGTTTAGCCAACAGGATTGTAACTGGGGAAGAGCCCTACATTCACCCCAAACACACTTTATTTCAATACCAAAATATACTGTAAAAGTTAGTCAAAACAACAAGTGCTTATTGTGAGAACGTAGTAAAGACTTGCAGCTATAGTATTTTATTTCATACAGGTGGATAGGGCAGGTGAGTCTCGCACACGACGTGACCCTTCATAGATGATGCAGAATATTTCAAACGCACCTCGGGCTCTTTAAACGGGTTGTGTAGCAGTATACTCCGCTGGGAAATTAGCATTTCCACAAAGAAGCTAACATGCTGTTCCAGGAGGAATGTATTGAAGTAAAAGCTAGTTATAGCCATAGAGTTCGCTCCAAGTTTGAGTTTAATGTCCTGCTGTCCTCGGCTGCAGACAGACTCTTCGTAAAGGATTTATTCTCCTGCGACATGCCAGACTGTATCACTATGCGTCACTTCACCAGGCTAGAGCAGGTACAGCTTATGCTAGTTTAGCAAACTATTAAATGGCTGTCCTGCTGGTTGATGTTTTGCATATCTGCACATATGCTGCTTTCCATGTAGCTACTTCATGTGCATTGTTGCCAATTCTTTATGATTCTTTGTACTGGTAGAGGTTTTGGTTTGGTACATGCATTTGAGGTTTCTTGCTCTTTATATTGATGATAAATTACATCCTGGGTTGTTCTGGTTGAGTCGTATATTTTGTTAAATGTGCGTCTTTCTTGAATCTTCCATGATTGTAGTTTTGGCAACTTCTGAGTTATCTGTACTTGGTTACATTTGTATTAATTTCCCCATTAAAAGTGTGTGATTGTGTATGGATGACAGCCAGGCAGTCCCACACAAACTAACCATACTGTACAAACAACATCTTAAATCCACCGACATTTCATCACAACAGCTGATTGATGTGTGTTCGCAAAACGTTGTGTCTTTTAATATTTAAAGACGAGCAACAGATAGACACGAACAGTGAGGCTGCATAGACTGTATTTATTTAAGTGATAATGCAACAAAACACACAGTAATGAACTGAATATATAATGTACCAAAATATTCCCTGTAGCCCTGTGAAGTGAGAGTTTATGCATTAATGTGTGTTGTATGCACTCTTTGGAGCCAGCTGTTTCTTTCACTAACAGCCATTTACTGGTTTTGACCCATTGATGCATCAAACATCTTCTTGCGGCCCTCCATGCCCGACATGGCCTCCACATTCTTCCTCCAGTCGTTCACCTCCACCGTCTTCTCCTGCACGGAGGCAAACACAGAGACTTTTGTGAAATGTTCCCTTTTGTTATGCTGTTCTGCACATTTTGATGTAGGAGATCTCTATTAAGTGCACTGACTCTCCATGAAACTAAACCCTATTCAGATATATGAATCCTTATTAGACATAATATGATATCCTGACCCTTACACCTGTGGTTTTTAATTTTGTTTTGGCAAGCGAAGAAAGCTTAATATTCGGTTTCACACATCTATACCAGTCAACAAAAGTAATGTGCTGCATAAATTATCTCAGCACATTGTGTGCCCTGTCATTACATCAGGATTCTTTCCCTTTGGCTAAAAATGATCTCCTTATGATTTCTCTGCAATTTTCCAAACCAACCTTTTCTGTGTCATCCTTTTTGACTGATTTAAGATTCGATCTCAGATCCAGAGAGACTTTGTGTTTGGAGCCCAGTAGGGAGCGCAGGATGGCGTCAGCAGAAACCCTCACCCTCCTCAGGCTGGGTCTCTTAAACTTCCCTCGCAGGTCCACTACCTTGATGTTCAGGTCTTTAATCTATGGAGAAAAAGTAGAGAGCAGTGGTCGAGTGTAACAAAGTACATTTACATAAGTAAAGTACTTCAAGTATTTTGACATACTTTGTTTTGATTATTTCCTTTTAAAGAGGACATATTGTGCTAATTCTTAGGTTCATATTTTTATTTTGTGTGTCTACTATGATATGTTTACATGCTTTAAAGGTCCCCTATTATACTGTTTTTCATCAATATATTATAGGTCTCAGATATAAAGTGCTGATTCTTTGTCATTTACTTTAGATGAAAATAAGGAGCCACTCCCCACGCCCCTCTGCAAGATATTTGGTTAATAAGAACACAATGGTGCTCTAGAAGGAGATTCAGGTGATAAGGTGGGGGTTACCTTGGTTGGTTATTGGCTAATGGTTACACAAGCCAAAACATCGTTATGACATCATAAAGTGGCCAAAATCTGATCAGCTCATTTTCAGACAGGTTTTTCTATAAATGGATCAGGACAAAAAGAGAGGGAATCTTTTTTCCTGAAACTTTCAGAATCTCTTTACACAGAACACATGTTTATGTAGAAAAGACATGAAAAAGTGGATTTTGCACAAGAGGTGACCTTAAAAGTTCAAAGAGCTCTTTATTGTTCTCATACTGCCTGTGCTGCAGCACCTCTTTTCACCCTCTGTCTGAAACCAGAGCCCAGTCTGCTCTGAGTGGTTAGCTCTGTTGTGATTGGTCAACTGCAGATATCGCAATGTTTTGGAGCGTTAGTCAATGGAAGCTTGGGTGTGTTACACAGTGATGTCACTATGTTATGGAAGTAAACAAGGGAGTCCGATGGAGGCGTTTGAGGCAGGGGTAACTTTGGGATTTAGCCTTTGCGGACCATTTAAATAGACAAACACCTATATAATACACTACAGGAAAGATAAAACCCCAACATCATAATAGGGCCTCTGTTATGCTACTTTATTACATTTCATAGGGACATTTTTATTTCTTACTTCACTAATGGTTACTTTTTACATAATACAAACACATGACATGCTAATATCATATCGATGCACTACTACTATTTTGCATGTTACAAATTATCTAGAAATGGTCCCATATGGTCCCCAACTACAACATAATATGCTCCTACATAAATGATTTTGTTCTAATGTATTATCTTTGAAAAAACATCCGCATGTTTCTACTTCAAGTACATTTAGCTGATAATAGTATTGTACTTTTCAGGTAACATTTGCAATTCAGGACTTTTACTTGTAATGGCTAATTTAGGACTATACTATCTCTACTTTTACTTCAGTCAGTGGTCTTAGTACTTCTTCCACTACTCATAAAGAGTAATTTAATTTAGGTAATTTGCCACAGACAGTGGGAGACATTCAACTTGGATGAAATGAAACTAAACTCTCTTGGTGTTTAAGTACTTGTTTGACCACATCAGAATGCTGTTACAGCTTTGTGATGTATGTATATTTAATTGTTATAGTTTGTTTTGCAACAAAACAAGCTGTTAACTTTATATGTTTCTTAAACAATGTTCAGTTACCTCTCTGGTGTTGTGCAAGACTTTGGCTTCAATATCATATCGCTCCTCGTCCACCACGTCTATTTTGGCATACAGCTCTTCACATAATGTCTAAAAAAAGACAAACAAATAAGAAAAAAATAATATTTACTTCATCATCAGATCTTTAGCAACATTATTCTGGAGTTTAATCTTGCAAATCTGATAGGCAAGTGTGGGATTCTACCTTTAGCTCTGCCAACGACATGCAGCTGGTATGTATAGGAGGAGTGTGTTCTTCCAGGTACTTTTCCTTCTCTTCCTCCTTTTCTTCTAACTCCTGCTCCAGCGCCTCCTGGGCAGTGGCAACCAACAAGCTCTGAAATATTACAAACCAATCATATTTAATTTAGATTTACTGGGAAGATGCACTCTGGGCAAAATGGACTGAGGACTTACCTTCAGCATTAGCTTGCGAGAAGCTGAGATCTTTGATTTCCTCTGCAAAAAGATTGACTTTTTTTAATATAGTGTGACATAGTAGCAAGTGATAAATTGATAATCTTAACATGTGATAATTGGTCTGTCGTCTTAGTGTGCATTCTTTTGTAAAAACATACCTCTGGTCTGTCGATGGAAAATACAGAGAGGACAAAATAGACAGAAGAAATGTAAAATGTGTGTCAATTGCAGATAGAACAACTTGGTCATTTCCATATTAAACTTCATTATGTGCTTCTATAGATGCATAGATTTGCTTTATGATACTGATATTCTGATTTGGAAATGGAAACAATAACAGACACACAATACTTACACTTTCTCAGGCATCTTGGTATCTCAATTCCCCCTGGAAGACAAAAATAAAACCTTTTTCCTCTGAAGTGCTCATCAGGGGGACCACTGGGTCGAGGGCCCCAAAGGGTCTTAACTATGTTCCCGCCTTTAGCTCCACTATACATACATTCAAATTCATTGACTTTAGTGTTACAAGACTGGAAATATAGAGGATACAATAAAGCTTTCATTTTGTTTACTCCAATGCTTTTATTATCCTTTAACACTGATATGTATTATATTTGAAGTTACTAAAGGACATTTCTCGCCACATGGCTAACCTTGTTTGTTTTGCTTATCAGGCATTGTTATATTATCTAATTTGTAGAAGGGCCCTCTGGACCAAATCACCTCTCACCTCTCACTGTTGATAACACAGACGTCTGGCAGACGGGAAGAAGCATGCACAGCCCAAAAAGAGCAGATCATCCAAATGACATTCCCTGCTTACACCCCCTTTCCCACTGGATAAAGACAAAGACGATAGACTGGGTCGCAAAGCAACACACAACACTGACCCAAATATTATTTTTGAAGAAAGCTGACCTGACTTAACCAAGGCCAAATAATATATGTAAAAATAGGAAGAACTGCATGTTCTACATACTGTAGCTTTGGGTTATATTTACCTTGAAACTGTATTGTCAACCATATGAGATTACATAGAGCTGCAACTGTCAATTATTTTCAATTCTGATTAATTAGCAAATTATTTTTTAAGGGCTGTAAGATATCAAAATACTTGTTTTGTCCAACAAACTTTTCACAACCAAAAAATATTAGATTTACTACCATTAATTTAATCGTGGAATTATGAGTTTTATTGCTTAAAAATATTTGTTTTGATTCACCTAATTGATTAAAGAACTAATCATTTCAACTTTAGATTTGACCATACCTTTTTAATATCTCTCGCTGTATTGTGTCAATCAGACTTATTGTGACAATTTAGCAACGCTGATTTGTCATCAATTTAATTCACTGGATTAGCTAAAAACAGACATTTATGTGTGTTATTTCACCTATCAACAGTTAATAATTACTCAAAAGTTTCATCCATAACATATAAAAATCCTGCTAAATAAAAAGACATATACTTTGAAAGAAGATTATATTATAAAAATGGCAAAATATAATAAACTGAATCCTTGCTTTTTGGACTGCGGGTCCGCAAATAAAATCCCCCAAAATGTCTCCCCAAAGTTTCTAGGAACTTATTGGATGTCTAGATGTTCTAACCATAACATCTATTGAGGAAAAAAATAATCAGTAATTGCTCCCCAACATTTAGTTACAATGTTTTTCACATTATTAAATATATTTTGATTCAAAATATTTGTTTCGATGTGTAATTTAATTTGTTAAATCCAAATAAAATCTGATCCTAGATCAAACCAACTGTAGGCTACATAATTACACAGAATGAATTGGGTAAATTGATGGAGCATAAATAATGGCCTTTCTTACCTTTCTATGTTGTTGCTGTGGATTCAGACGGACACAAAGTGATGGAGAGAAGAACGTACCAGAATATTTATCTCCTGCTGCCCTCTATCCCTCCTCTATCACAAAGAGACTTAAATAGAAGCACTCACACAAATACACACAAATGAGAGGGGGTGGTCTCAGGATAACAGTAAATGTGATGCTCGTGTTGACAGATCACCGATCGCTGCTTTCTTTTAATAATGTGTGAGAACTTTTCTATGTGCCAAGGCGCGATAAACAGCGTTCTTGTCGACTTTCACACCAGCAGTTTGCAGTCAGTTGTTAATCTGGTTTTCCTCTTGTGATATATTTAAAGGATCTTTCTCTGCTCGTGTACACCAGCTTTGTTAAACCTCAACAGATAGCTGCTGTTTATATACAGACAGAAGTTAGACTTGTTTTTTTCCAATTTTAAACTAAACTAAGCTGCAGTAGCCAAACAGCTTTTCTTGTGGCTATAGATGATTTCTGAGACTTTCTTTGGCTTCTAAACCTGCCCCCCACCACCCCGAGACTTCAGGCCTCCGTTGGTCTGATTACGATAATGGCTACAGACAATGCTAAACTGTGGTTTTATGGCAGGAATGCAGTTTCCAGTATACATTTAGCTAAGGCCAACAACTAAACATAGACAAATTGCAGCACCATGCGATGCTGCCACTCTTTGATTCTGGGGCCGAGCTTTCATATTGTATGCGTCCTCAAGGTTTGTAATGTGTGTACCAATTTCCCAGTGAGTGCGTGGTACGCTGAAGGAAATGTTCGTAGTGGCCAACAGGTGATACTACAACGCCCATTTACAGCCCTTAAATCATTAGGGTATAAACATGGTAAAAGCGCTAAAACCTTAAGCAAAATGCACGTTTGCATGCTCTATCCGCCCAGACAGGGGTTGCTCCTAAGGGTCAGGCCATTTTGGCTTCCTGTGCTACTGAGCAACTTTCATAGGAATGAACGTTGTCCCGCCTCCAACAATTTACTCAGTTGTCTTTATAGATCCATGGAATATACGACAGTGCTGAGTTCACTAATGTAAAGACAAAAAGTTCTTACATTAATCCACAAAATCACTCGTGTGGTTTGTGTTCATATATATATATATATATATATAAATATATATAAACTGCCTTGCCTTGCTTTGGGTGTGTGGCAGTACTCTTTTGACAGGTTTTGGAGATCGTTAAAATGTGCCAAATTGTTCTTTAGCTCTCGCTGAGTCAGGACTTTAAAGCCCTGCTGCTGATTTGATTTATGACACTGAGATCCAGCCGGTGGGCTCATGGCGGCTGATTATAATTCCTCGGTAAATATGGCAGCAGGATTAACAAAGTGCTGTGTGTGTGTGTGTGTGTGTGTGTGTGTGTGTGTGTGTGTGTGTGTGTGTGTGTGTGTGTGTGTGTGTGTGTGTGTGTGTGTGTGTGTGTGTGTGTGTGTGTGTGTGTGTGTGTGTGTGTGTGTGTGTGTGTGTGTGTGTGCGTGTGTGTGTGTGTGTTTCTAGGAAATTTAACACTTACTCGTATATTCAAATGTCAGTGGATTATACTACAGTAGGCTACAGTAGTTTTCACATGTGACTGTGTGCTGTAATAGTTTAAGTCTTTTAGTGTTCATGGCAGCTGTATCATAGATCTTTCGTATTTCCAGTTTACAATCACAACTGGACCAGATTTACCACCAAAACTCGCACTCGTAAGCAAATACCAGCTTCTCTGGGCTGCTGCTTCTTAGTTGACAGTCGTTTTTGTTGTGCTTCACTCCAGCCAAATGACTTAATTCCAAAACAATTATGAGTGTTCGTCAAATAAGGACTCTTTATCCCAAGTCCTTTTGCTTTCTTTGCTGGCTGAGATGTCTTAGCAGACTCTTATTAGCTAATAAAACACAGTTTGGTTGTGTCTGCTGCAGTGTCAACCTCTTTTAAATCCTATACAGATTATGACAGAGCTGCTAACCTAATCTGACACATTTAGGGGAAACCGAACACAGCAGATGTGTCGGTCGGTTGTGAGGCTTTTTTCTTACATAATCTTGAACCACAACCAGTGGCGGCTGGTGGAAATTATTTTAGGTGGGGCTATTGTAATGGGGAATAAACCACACGGGGAACATTTTTAGAAATGACCCCTTAAATTATGACTTCTGGTGATGTGAGAGATATGAGAAGACTGATCAATACCTCCATAATCTTCAGTGTGGTTAGCTATGAATCTTCCAAAACTTCCAAATACCTTGTCCTGGACATAGTTTCTACAGTAAACTGTGCAACAGTACAGTAGGCCCACACAAACTGCAGAACACCGGTTCTTTGGGAACACTCAAATGATTGAATTCCCAATCAGGAGGAAAACCAGGAGACTAAATACGAACATTATATGCAGACACAGACGTGGTTCAGAAACACAGAAATATTAGAAAACAGACCATTAAGGCAAAAAAAATCTAGTTTGATGAATGCTGTTAAAACTCAACTACAATAATATGTGTATGACACATACACGTGTGTGTGTGTGTGTGTGTGTGTGTGTGTGTGTGTGTGTGTGTGTGTGTGTGTGTGTGTGTGTGTGTGTTTATTTATCATGGGCACATAGTATCTGTCTGAGGGCTCCTCTCTTAGCGTCCAGACGAGAGAGGGTAATATTACACGCTGCGGCCAGGGAGGAAATATGTGACTTATCATATCGTCTGTTAGCTGAGTTTATTCCCGTTAAGTGGTTATGCATCATTAATAGATTGTTAAATGTTAAGAAGCCTTGAGACGCTGTTTCTAGCAAGATGTTGCGTCTGCCCCCGCTATGGTCTGCCCCCGGGAGTCTCACAATAATAAGAGCGCTGTTAGGAGAGATGACAAGTGGCATTCACAGTGGCCAATCAGAGTGGTAATCAAACCGGATACGTCACAGGGGATGAGGGTTCCCAACCAACCAGAATTGCTTAAACTAAGAATAGCAGCACCGTTTGTCCAGCGGCTTAACGGTATACCAATACCGTCCAATCAGGTACCGGTACTGACTTAGTACCGGTTCTCGATACCCATCCCTAGGGGGATCATTGCTTTCCTGCTTTACTTCTGCATCATTGATTTATTTATTTTTTATTTATTTCATGAGCGTTTGTTAGCATAATCATCTAATGAGGAAATGTCATGTGTTTCTTGTCTCATTAACATTTCTCATTAGCTGTGTCAAGGAGGAGATACAAAATGGCAAATGTTTTACTTAGGTTTTATTTAATAAAGTCCATCATTTATATCCAAAATTACATTAAGCTGTAAACATCAAAGCAGCAAAAAAAAATACAGATATTTACATAATCTCATAGGGATCATTTACATGTAAACGTTTGTAAAAGGTATCACTTGTAGTTCATTGTTTGCACACTTTACACAGGAATCTGAACAAACAAACCCCAGATTCTCCATTAGCCACTCAAACACCTGCAGCGCTAAAAATCCAAGCTTAAAAAACTCAAATCATAAATTGGTTTGAGAGTTTTTAAAATCTTTAGAGCAAAATGTTACTTTGTGTTCTCATTTTCTCTGCTTCTCCCCTGTTCCCACTTATAATATAGGGATCCAATTTGCAGGGTAAAGACCGCAAGGGGGGTAATATTGAAGAAATACATTTAAAAGTTTGAAAATTAGGGTCATAAATGTATAAAGTAAAATATTGGTAATATTATCTGACTATCTCTCTTCTTCTTGTATATTTAACACTTGTCCAACTTTCTTCTGGCAAATGTATGACTTTAAAGGAACATGACTTTTTCACAAAATATCTGTCATAATTAAGTGACAGTCTCAGCAAATGTAACCATATTTTTTTCTGCAGGTTTTAATCTCTAAAATTCAGAGTTTTTTTCCTGTGAATATTACCCACAATGTTCCTTATATGTGATCATCAACACGAGGCACTAGTCAGACTCTAAGATCTCGGGGGGGATCCTCTCGATGGACTCTGTGGAGGAGCAGTGGGAGCGCTGGGACTGAGAAGCGCCAGGACTGGCCGTCCCAGAATGCATCAGGGGTATGTATATGTCGTCCATATTTGGCATCACAAACACTTTCTGGAGGAATAAAAATACATAGTTGTGACACAAAGCTGAGAAAGTTAAAGCATTAAAGGTCCCCTATTATACAGTTTTTCATCAATATATTACAGGTCTCAGATATATACAAAACATGACTCTGAAATGTTTGGCTCCAAACACCAAAAGATCATTGCAGCATTACCCATAATCCCCTCTGTTTCAGCCCTGTTTCAAAAGAGCTGATTCTCTGGCCGTTTCTCAATCTCGAGNATGAGCTCTCAGACACGTTCAAAATTAAACTGTCATCGCTGTCTGAGCTTGCTGCTGTGTCCGCCATCGTGCGTTTACATGCAGATGCTGGGATCCTGAACGGTGCAGCTGGAGCGCTGTGCCCGCATTGACGTCACCCATAATTTGGCGGGAGTTGAAGAATCTCCGACAAGATCCAGGAAATTGTCAACATTGAAGGGCAGATTAATGGTTATCAAAGTACAAATATCCAAAATCAGTTCAGTAACAGTTTTCAAGGGGACAATATTTACTCAAATTGATGGGTTTGGATGATGGGCCAAAATCGTGTCACAGGCACTTTAACTACAACGGGACAAATGTAAATCAAATGTATTTTCTTTTATCTCGGTCATTGTGCAAGAGCAGAACATGTTTCTCTTACAAGGCCGTCGTTTGTGGTGAGGTTCTGCAGGGCTCCGCAGCAGGCTTCCTGTGTTTCTTCTCGCTGACTAGTGGCTAACAAAGACAGGTAATTCTGCAGAGTGCTGGAGTGGATCAGCAAACCAGCGCCATTAGGCTGTGGATCCTCAACGACCGGGTAGTCAAAGCGGCGCTGGACAGGAAAAGAGAACATACCATTATCAACATGTAACGGCTACAGCATTTACTTAAAAAAAAAAATGCAGAATTTGCCTGTAGGACTTTTTGAAATAAAGGATACTACAAAACAAAATATGAATCTAGATGTTTAAAAATAGTTTTCCATGGTGCTAGATGCAAACATGCAACATTCAAAAAAATGTTTAAATGAACATTAACGTGCCCTATTATGCTCATATTCAGGTTCATATTTGTATTTTGTTCCTCTACTGTGACATGTCTCCATGCTTTAATGTTCAAAAGGTTTTTATTTTTCTCATAGTGCCTGTGCTGCAGCACCTCTTTTCACCCTCTGTCTGAAACCAGAGCTCAGTCTGCTCTGAATGGTTAGCTGGCCGGCTCTGTTGTGATTGGTCTACGGCTTAACGGAGAAACTCCCTCTGGAGGGAACTTTGGGATTCTAGCCTTTGAGGACCATTTACATGCACAGTAAACTTGTATAACACACTATAGGAAAGGGAAAACACCTAAACGTTTATCAAATCAGAGCACATAATGTCACACTAAGCTTTTTTTTAAATAGCATGTAATTGGCATAATTATATTACACTTAAAGAACAAGGATTAGTGACAGACAGTGAAAGTGTCTGTGTGGACAAACCGACTTGCAGTCACATGAAGGAGGTGTCAAGTATTTCTGTCATTATAAAAGCATTCATTTTGCCCTGGTCTGACGCAGCATGTCTGTTTCTCTCTGTTGTGCACCTTTCTCGCCCTCACCTCGTGCTCTGAGGATTCTTTCTGCGGACTGAAGCAGCCGATGGGCCCGGTGTCGCCCTCGCTGGAGGTCCTGCAGACAGTCTTGGCTAACGCTGTGATTCTGCTGAACAGAGCGGGAGCCTCGGCCTCCAGCTGGAAGGTCAGGTTGTGCAGGATGCACACACAGTTTTCCACCGACTGTTACAACAGGTAGAACAACATTAGTTCACACTTAGACTCAGAAATAGTTGTGCTAAAACTCAACAATGCTCAATATGAGCTAACATATTGAGCATTGTTGCTGTTATGTTGTCCCTTTCCTGTAGAATCTATTACAATTAAAATGGAAAGCTGTAGCACATAAATAAATTATATAACATTTGTTTGTGACTGAAAATGGTAAACATATTTTACTCTTCCTAGAACAGTGAAAAGTGACAATATCCATATGTTTCGATGGAAACAGTTGATTGAAAGGCCAGAGCAATGACTAGCCTGCCTATATTTACTGTTAAAAGTAACAGTGTGTATACATGGCTGTGTAAAGGCCTCATACTAAAGTACACAGATATCCCGGCAGTGAGCACAGTATGACTCATCGATACTTGTTGCAGTACAACTGCTCTCTGTGTACTACAACAGTAAACTGGTTAACTCAAACCGCAGCTTCTTGCTGTAGCAACAATGTTGTTTTTGTTAGTTCCATGGGAAGGTGTGACATGTGAGCAAATAAGGAAACGTGCAGGTTTAACATGCAATATATAAATAGACATTAATGTATCCCCTTCTCACCTTATCGTCTGGGTTTCCCGCATCGACGCACTCTTTTACATAACTGACCAGAGAGTCGACCAGACCTCGACATTTCCTCATGGCCTGTCTGTTGCTTTGCTTCGTACTGCTTAGGTTTCTGTTTGAAAAAGATATATATAAATGACGTTAAAAAATGATTCAGGATAATAACAGGTTAACATAAACTTTTTTGATCCCTTTGTGGAATTCACAAGCTTCTAAGCAGTAGGCTACAGTAAACAAGGGGAAAAAACAAATCCTCCTTTAACATAGTGATAAACACAGTAATAACATATACATTATTCTAAAATTGTTCGTTGAGGAGTACTTTTGATTTACGCTTTAAAAGAGCACTATGCAAATATAGTTTTATTTTGTATTGTTCAGATTGAGACAGTAATGGAAACGCCCTGAAGCAAAGGTTTCATAAAGCGATTGAATTGTCTGATATTAATTTCACCTTGCCTTAAAAGTAAACAGTAGTAATCGTGTCAGTGAAGCAAGTGAAACAATCTAAGCTCTCACTGAATGACACGGGAAGTCAGTCAATGTTTTACAACACAGACACTGCTTTCTGATGTATCAGATAAGAACACTAAAAACACATGTCACTGTGGTTTGATTGATGGTCATGTGATTTACATTCACAGTTTTCTGTTCTTAAAGCATCTACTCCAACAGCTGGTGCAGACATGCTTGTAAAGATTTGTAAACATAATGAATCTCACGTTATGAACCGCCAGAAAATAAGTTATATTAATGGACAACAGCCACTAAAATAACATTAAAGCTCAATAAAGATCTCTCTTAAACCGTTTAGCAAAAACCTATTAAAACGAAGGCTATTTAACTTCATACCTTTGAGCTAAGTCTAACCTGGCAACTGAGTCCTATGATAATTACATTTGAACTACTAAAGTATACAATAATACACATCTTTCTCTCAAAGGTAACTTAATAGCAAACTTTTATTGCGTTGGATCTGGTCAAAATTTTATTTGTACTACTAAATGATAGTAAGGGAATATAAAAGGATTTACATGATACAGTAGTTATTTGCCTTTTTCCAGAGAATATCTCTGACATGGACTTGAACCCCACCCTGCCCATTGTAAAAACACCAGCAGATCATGAGCGTGAGTAGTAAAAGCATAAATACACTGCTATTAGTTTACAGTATCTGTCTGTGTTACAGCGTGTGTAGCAGATTCACATCCACTCTCAAGCATGATAACTCTTGATGACTTCTACCCAGTGTTGTACTACTCACAAATCTTTCTCGTACACGTCTTTTTTAAACTGAATAACTCTCTATGGATTCAATGTAAAAAATACCAAATAATGTGTTTACTAAAAATCGTCCTGTTTGCTATCCTGGATCCCCATACCAGGACAGCCTTTTTGTGGATATGGCCAATAAAACAGAGGGGAAAAAGAAAACAATTATGTATGTAGCATTGAAAATGTTTAGCTTATTCATGAAGTTATTATGCTCCAAATATCTGGAACCAACTCCCAGAAACCTGCAGGTCCGCTGCAACTCTTACTACTTTTAAATCCAGGCTGAAGACTTTTCTTTTTGCCACTGCTTTTAATTGAACTATTCATATCTTAGACTGCACTGTAACTTTTATTCATGTTTTTTTCTTTTAATGTTTATTTTATTATCTTTGCTTTTTAATGACTTTTTTTAAATGCCATTTTCTTAATGTCTTTCATTTTTGTAAAGCACTTTGAATTGCCTTGTGTTGAAAGGTGCTATATAAATAAACTTGCCTTGCCTTCATGCCTTATATATATTTTTTGTGCACG